ACTGTGGCAATTGGACAATTAAAACAAACATTCGGATGGCAGGGAAGAAGAACAAACTGGGGAGGACGGTAGAGAGAATGGTGCAGCAATGAAGGAATGAAAACCCAAAATCCCTGTAAATGTTCATTGAAACTAATAAAATTTAATAATAAAAAAAGGAAAAAAAAAAAAGAGGCAGTGAGAAAAAATGTCCCTACTATCTTTGAAAAATATTGCTCATATAAACGTGTCCTTAAAAAAAAAGAAGAGACAGAGTGAGCCACTGCAATTGGAGGAGGTGGGGAAAGTAATTTCTTCATCCATTTCTTTTAAATGATTTTTCCCCCCTTATACTTACTGATTTGCTTTTTTCATCCGTTTTCATCAGTGGGAGAGAAATCCTGACGCTGGAGCTTACTATAACAGATGTCTTAGAGAGCGCACATGAATAACTAGAAGTACCTGGTCAATTTAAACCAAAATCATACAGAATTCATAGCCCATTGTCATATTTTGAAGTTAACATTGTGTTCCATTGTATTGTTTACCTACCTTTGGGAAGAGGTATTATAGTACAAAGAGCATGTACTGCCGAGCCAAGCTGACCTAGATAGAAAACTTTATTTTGCTCTGTGTCAGCTCTAGAATGTTGGTTAAATGATTTCAATTTTTTGTGCCCTTTGTGTGTATAAGAGGGGATACCAATATCTAACACAGAGTTGTTGTAAATTGAAAAGAAACAAATATATAAAGTGCCTGGAATTGCCAGACTGTAAGGTGAATGAACAATAAGCAAATAGATTAGTGATACTTAATCTTAAATGAAACTCTGAATTCTATTACAAGGTTAGATATCTTTTCCCTTTTAAAGACACCCCCTTTTACATTTTTTGAAAGGTAAGAAACTTGTTGTTAGGTTGACTATGACTTGTAATGACTTTTTGTATCCCACAGGCTGTGAAAAGAACTAACAGGTATGTCTTGTAGAAAATGCAGCCAGATACTCCTTAGAGTAAAAAAAAAACAAGAAAGCTCCATGTCACACACTTAGAGCATGTTGTTGCTGTTGTTAGGTGCTGACAAGTTGAGTATGACGCATAGTGATGCTATGAACAACAACAGATCTGGACTCTGCTCTATCCTGTGCCATCTTCACACTTCCTGACATACAAGACAACATTGCGGCAGTCACCGAGTCAATCCACTTTGTTGAGGGTCTTCCTCTCCTTCACCAACCCTCCACTCTTCCCAGCATCATGTTCTTCAAGGCCCAAAGTATATAAGGTGAAGCATCATCTTACCTCCAAAAAGCACTCTGGCTGCACCCTCCCCAAGACATACCAGTTTGTTCTCTTGGCTGTCCATGGGATATTTAGTGTTTTTCTCCAACACCACAGCTCAAAGAGGTCAATTCTTCCTCTGTCATCCTTATTCATTGTTCAGCTCTCAGATGCATAGCTAGTAATCGGAAAGACAATAGCCTGAATCAGATGCACCTTAGTCCTCAAACTGGTATCATTACTCCTCAATAACTTGGAGAGGTCCCTAACTGCAGATTTTTCCCAGTGCAATGCATCTCCTTTATTTCCTAACTGCTGGTACCAAGGGTGTTAATTGTGGATCCAAGCAAGATGAAGCTTTTGACAATTTCAATCTCCTTTCCATCCCTCATGATGCTGCCTTGGTCCAGTGGTAAGAATCTTTGTCTTCTTGACATTAAGACACAATCCATATGGAAGGCTGCATTCTTTGATCTTCTGTAACAAGTGCTTCAAGTCCTCCTCACTTTCAGCAAGCAAAATTGTATCATCTCCATAACTCAGGTTATTGATGAGTCTCCCTCAAATCCTGGTGCCACACTCCTCCTTATAGAGTTCAGCTTCTTGGATAATTTGCTCAGCATACAGGTTGAATAGATATGAAGCACTCCCTTCTCCATTTCAAACCACGCAGTGTTCCCCTGCTCTGTTCACACAACAGCCTCCTGGTCCAGGTATAGGTTCCTCATGAGCACAATTATGTGCTCTGGGATTCCCATTCTTCTCAATGTCAACCACTTGTTATGATCGACATAGTCAAATGCCTTTGCACAGTCAATAAAGCACAAATATGGTATTCCTTCTTTTCAGCCAGGATCTATCTGGCATCAGCAGTAATATTCCTGGTGCCAAGGCCTCTTATAAATCCTACTTGAACTTCTAGCAGTTCCCTCTTTATATAGTTTTCTAGCCGTTTTTGAATGATCTTCAGCAGTATTTTGCTTGCATGTGCTTCTTGTTTAAGCAATCAGGACCTGGTGGGTGGACCTTTGTATTTAAAAATCGGTTGGGCCTTGCAATTAATTGTGTTTGGGGAGTACATTGTTCTAAGTACTACAGCACTTGTCTGTCAGTTTTCTGTAGAAAGTTCAAGCAAGATCCACACCTCACTCCATACACAAAAACCAACTCAAAGTGGATCATGGACCTACGACTAAAACCAAGGACTATAAACTTCATTAAAGAAAAGCTTGGAAGAACTCTAGAAGTCCTAACCCACAATATAAAGTCTTCCAAGCATACTGAAAAATCGACCAGCAGAGGATAAAATAGATGAATGGGACCTTCTAAAAATCAAATCCTTATGTACATCCAAAAACTTCTCCAACAGAATAAAAAGTGAAGCCACAGACTGGGAAAAAAATATTTGCTAATGACAGGTCAGATAAGGGACTTATAGCTAGAATTTATAAAATACTCGAGCACCACAACAATTGAAAAAGGGGCACGGGATATGAACAGACTCCAAAGAAGACATTCAAATGGTGAACACACACAAGAAGAAATGTTCAAAATCCCTAGCTCTAAGAGAGATGCAAATCAAAACTGACATATCATCTCACCCCAGTAAGAATAGCAAAATTTAACAGAATAGCAAATATTAAATGCTGGCGAGGTTGTGGAGAAACTGGAACCAAGACCATCATCACCCAAGCAGATATATGTACATGTTTATTGCGGTTTTGTTCACAATAGAAAAGAGTTGGAAACAACCCAAGTGCTCATCAGCAAACGAATGGGTAGAGAAGCTGTGGTATATTCACACAATGGAATACTATGTTGCTTTGAAAAGCAAAGGGTCATTATGCTGAGTGAAATATCTCAATCACCAAAGGACAAATATTGCATAGTGCTACTGTTGTAAAACAGTACTGACATCGGGGTTGAGGGGAGACTGAAAGACAGGGGATTAAAAAAAATGTATATTGCATTGAAACAGATGAGGGAGAGAACTGTTTAAAAGATATATATGATTAGGTATGATTGTCATGACAGGAGTCCAGAACGAAGGCTGCACAGTGGAGTGGACCTGGGGGGTCAGGAATGAAAGAATTTCTTTTACTTTTCAAAGAGAAGAGCGATTTGGGGGGGGGGTGGTGAGCAGGGAGAAAAGTGCAACACTGATGGAATGGAAATCCCAAGTCTCTGTAAACTTTCATTAAAATGAATTTTTTAAAAGTAAGGGGGGGGGGAGTAAGGGAGGGGAAAACCACAAAAAAAAGCAGCCCCAGAAATCGATACCAATTGACAAATTTCCATATTTTGCCATGTCCAGATTTAAAAAAAAAAAAAAAAATTTCAGGCAATCCCAGACGAAGCTAATAGAGATAAACGGTATACTCTGCCCTGATTTTGAGGAAAACGGGCCCTTTGCGAGCAGGCAATCGGCTCCTCGCAGATTAACTCCCTCTGCCTTCAGTGTCCCAGGAGCAACTCGGCGCTGCTGCAGAGCTTTCCTCCCATCTCTGGCTAGTCCAACAGCCGGGTCCGGAGTCACGCTGCGGAACCCGGTGTGAAAGGCAGCGCCGCGCTGCCACGTCATCCGGCTGCGCCCGCGCCGGCTGCCATGCGGACGGCGGCGCCCTGCTGCCGGTTCCTACCGTGGCTGCAACGCGCTCAGGGGCGAGCGGTGCCTGGGGGCTGTGCAGTCTGGGGTGCCCTTGGACTTGACAGCTCGGGACGAACTCGGCCACAATACTCTGGACTCACGTCTAAAGATGCGCAGGATGGAGGAGGGTACAGACTGGTGCGCAGAACAGAGTCGCTGCCCGCTCTCCCTCGGCGCCTGGGCCTTGGGATCAGAAGTCTTTGGTCACCGGCTAGCCTCAGATCGCAGGCGCCGGGGGATGTGTCTTCTCAGGAGCGCGAAGACTCGAACGGGGACCGGGCCCAGGGCGATCCCTCTCAGTCTGTCCTGGACCAGACAGCTTCCGAAACCAATGAACGGGTGCACTCCGCTTCTAGGGAGGGCCCCTTTCGGGCTGGGGAGTTGATTTTAGTGGAGACTGTTAAGAGATCAACACAATATAAAAAATTATTTCGATTGAGCAACGCCGGACATTTTAATAGTAGCTGGGGATTAGTTCCGTTCACTGAGATTTTGGGGAAGTTCCCTGGCCAGGTTGTAAGAAGTTCCTCCGGTAAGCACTTTCTGCTCAGGAGGCCAACACTGGAAGACTATGTATTACTGATGAAAAGAGGTGCTGCCATATCATATCCAAAGGTAATGCGACGGGGTTTAGATGCGCATTGGTTGCAGAAGGTGACACATAGGACCGCTGCATTGAACGAAAGCTGGCTGAATCCTACAGTTTTGATGAATGTCATTAAAGCATCCTCGGAACATTTACTTGTTAGCATTATTCACAGCCAATTTTTCAATTTGTTTTTGTAACCGATGAATATGACTTTACTTGCCTTATGATGAAAGTTACCATGTTCCTACTTTTAGGAGGATGTATTTATTTTCTCGGAGAAAAATTATTCAAGTATTTAAGTCTTTTGTTTGCATCATTTTAGTATTAATAATCCAAGCTTCTTCCCATTTGATGACTCTTCTCACTTGGTTCCTGACTGTATGACCTTGGGCATGTTGCAGAGTCTCTGATTGCCCTTTAAAATAGGAGAGGTGAAACTGAGCTCATATTATTCTGATTAAACATGATAATGTATGAATGTAGTTTGAGCGGAAGCATGACTTAGAAAAGTTTCAATCCTCAATAAGCAGCTTTTATCATCATCCATGAGATTTGTTAAAAATAATTACTCAGTTACAAAAAAAAAAAAATAATTCCTCAGTTCCAGTATTTGGCAAGGGGAACCTCTTGTCTACACTAATATTTTAATTCTGAAGTTGAAGCAGCTCATGCAGAGATTTTGAAATAATTTCACAACTAGTCTTCCTGACTTTAACTTACCTGTGTTGGTGTATTTTATATTTCCTTGCAAATTAACCTTCCTAAAATGTCGTTAAATATACAAATGTTCAGTAACACACTAGCTACTTAGCCGGTCAAGTTCAAATGCCTTTCAAATTGGTATTCAGTCTCTGTACCTCCCTTTCAGACATGAACAAGCTGCATTTATTCTGTTTTGTTTAAAGCTTGTAATTCCTTAAAATCTTCCAGCCTTTGACCTAGGAAAGTCCACTCATCTTTCTTTGAGCATGTATTGAATGATTGTTTATAATATCAGTATTAGTGCTGCCTTATTTGTGAGCTCTTTGAATTGCTTTTATTTTATTAGAATACAAGCTCTTTCTGTTTTTCACTTTCTTCCTCTTGACATCCAGGGTTATATCAGGTACAGAGTGAGTGCTTGGTACACATTTATTATTACTTACAAGGTCATCCATACTGTGTTTCAATTATAGGATGTGACTATGATGCTGTTGATGATGGATATCAACCTAGGTGATACTGTTTTGGAAGTTGGTTCAGGCTCTGGTGGCATGAGCTTATTTTTATCAAAAGCAGGTAAGAGATTGGGATAAGTGAGCTGGACTTAGAGGACATTGCTAATTTAGAATTACGGATAAACAAAGTGTTGATTTGATTTCCAAGGCTCAGAATCTTAAAGAAGCAGACTACCACACCTATGTTTGAACCTGCCTGTTTTTTGATTAGTGATTGGCTGTTTTAAACACTGTACCACCAGGGCTCCTTTATCATATTGGGGAAATAGTCATATAACTGTGACTTCCTTGACACCAAATGCAAGCAACTATTCCTTTTTTGTATATTTTTATCATTTCCTCTCTTTATCTCTTACTTTACTTCTTTTGCTAATAAGGCTTCTACTTATATTATTAACTAAATTTTACGTTGATGTATATCTACAAAAATGACACAGATGAAAATTATACCTCAATGATTTTTTATTATTTTGTGTGTGTACCATCAAATCGGATCTGACTGGTACAGGAGGAGACTGCCCCTCCTTCTCCAGCAGAGCATCTGGTGGATTCGAACCACCTGTCTCTGGGATTGCAGTGCAGCTTCTTGCCACTAGGCCACCAGAGCTCCCCACCTGAGTGAATTTTTATATCCCAAGCACACTAAGGTAGTCATTATTCAGATCAAGATAGGGAATGCTTTTGCTCTACAGAAGCCTTCCTCATGCCTTATCCCAGTTCTGATCCTCCTCAAGATGTTTTTGTCGCTTTAAGAGATGGTACACTTTAAAAATGTTTATATTTTGTTTATTGCTGATATGTAGACATACAACTGGTTTGGGTTTGTTTTTTTAAAAAAAAAAAATTCCCTGTCATTATTAGCATAGTGGATTAGGGCTGCTAACTAAAAGGCCAGTGGTTTAAATCCTCCAGTCGCTCTTGGGAAGAGTGAGGAGGCAATCTGCTTCTGTAAAGCTTTATAGTCTTGAAAGCTCTATGAGAAAGTTCTCCTCTACTCTAGACTTGCTGTCAACAAATGGGGATTGAATCAATGGTATTGATTGGGTGAGTATTGGTAGTTTACTATAGGTTCTTTTTAGATTAGCTACATATGAGGATAGAAGGAGAATTGATGCCTTTGAGCTGTGGTGCTGGAGAAGAGTATTCAGTGTACCATGGACTGCCAAGAAAACAAACAGATTCATCTTGGAGAGGATTAAACCAGGCTACTCCTTGGAGGCAAGGATTTTGGGGCTTCGTCTGACATGCTTTGGACATGTTTCCAGGAGGGACGGGTCCTTGGAGAGGGACATCATGCTTGGGAGGGTGGAGGGACAGCGCAGGAGGGGAAGACCCTCTATGAGGTGGATTGATTCAGTGACTGGGGTAATCAGGATGGGTGGGTCAGAGGCAATGCGATTGGCACAGGATAGAGCAGAGCTTAGGGCTGTTGTACATAGGGTCGCTATGAGTCGCAAGGGTGTGTCAGAGGCAATGCGATTGGCACAGGATAGAGCAGGGTTTAGGGCTGTTGTACATAGGGTTGCTGTGAGTCGCAAACGACTCATAACAACAACAACAACATATGTAATCAAGTATCTGTGAATAATTATGGGTTCCATTTCTTGATTGCTGTCAGGGTGAAGCAAGGGAGAAAAACTTTCAATATTTCATCATTAAATGTCATGTGTTTTTTTTACCTCTGATTCTTCAAAATCCATTATGCCAGCCCAGTCACGTTGTATCTATTAAATGTCTTTCTGTTTTGTTTCGTTTCATTATTTGTTTAATCAGGTGTAAAAAGAACAAGGATAGAGTGGAAGCAGCCATATTTGACCTCCATTAACCCCGCAAGGGGTATTAAATGTCTTTTGAGTCTATCTTTTCTCCATTCTCAATCTTAGACTTTTTACCATCTATACTATAATGCATACAGATACATGGTAACAAAGAGAGGGGAAAAAAATCATTTAAATATCAGAACTCTTAGGCACTATACAGACAACAGCTCATCCAATTTCATAATTATCCAGAGATAGGTACTATTATTATCTCGATTTAACCTCTAAAGAAACAGAGCCTCTGAATGGTTAAGTAATTTGTGTGGAACAAACAGCTAATGAAAGGTAGAGTTAGTACCTGAAACCAGGAACTGTCACATCAGAGGACAAGCTTTTCTAGTTTCCTTATCTCATATGTTACTCCTCCGTGATATTCTTCACAGAATAATCTTTCTAAAATGCAATCACCAAACAACTGTTTATGTTTAATTGTAATCTTTCAAAACCATACAATTGCTTTGACACCCTTTCTCCACACCTATACTTTGTTGTTGTTGTTGTTAAGTGCCTTAGAGTCTAGATGACCCATAGAGACCCTATGAATGAAAGTCTGGGACACAAAACTTTCATCTTTAAGTTCATAGAGTTTCTGGAGGCAAGCTTTTTTTTTTTTTTTTTAAGTGGATGCTAATCTTGCTTCCAAGCCTGTTTTATTGGGAGATCCACAAAAAGCGGCCCCTGGGCCCAAAAGCCTTTTTAAATACGAGGCCAGATCCTGTCAGCTCACACCCTATTGTGAACAACAGCCACACCCTAGTCTCAACCCCAAACCAGAGAATGCACTTTAGCAAAATGACAGGAAAAAGAGCCAACAAATCATAGGCTCTGTGGGTTTAATACATCTACCCCACCAGTTCCTGTTTGCAGCACTCAGTATTCCTTTGAAAGACAGACTCAGTAATGCCCAACAGTAAATTGAGACCTCAGAACCTCAGTTCAGCTTCTCTGAGCATTCTGTGTTATAATGGCACTTGTTCAGGCTTGCTAACTTCCCATAGTTGGGATGCTTTATGTACCAGTGAAGAAAGCCTTTCCCTCACAAAGCTAAACAGATGTGGCTGTGAGGTCTTTCCTCCTATCACATCTCGTCTTTTTAGATCTTTTTTTTTTTACAATGGTACGGGAGACCAAAACTTATCCTGAGTTACAAAAGAACAAGACAGTGATGGCTATAAAGGAAGTGACCAGGAGCAACTGAGGTCCTACTTTACTAGCCACATCCAGTGGATGTGCTTCACAGAACAGAAAATAGAAACAAATCCACACATAATAACTAGATTTACAACTAGTTCATCCAAGGGTGGAAGGTGGGATAGTAAATGGCACAGGATTCAAATCAGTCCCAGGCACAGGATCCAGCAAGTGCTGGAAAAGAGATGCAACACCCCCACCCCCACCCCGTCGCTCTTTTAGACACAGGCTTTTCACCTGTTTTAAAGCACCAGTGTGCTAAAAATCCATGCAGTGGTGTCAGTTTCTGCCAGAATGTGCCTGAGACAAATTTCAGTTCCTCAGAGAAGAGGGACTATGCAGAGGAACCTTGGCAGAGTGGGTCCTGCCAATCATGAGGAGCAGGAGGTCAGCAGGGAGAAAAGTTCTACCGTACCCTGTGGATGGTGGGTGAAGTCAGGGTGGCAGTTTTCAGTTTGGCAGGAGATGGATGTGGTGAAAGGAACTTCTCTGCAGAGGCTGAGCTGCTCAGAGCAGATTGTGGGGAGACAGTCTTATGGAAAAATCTGTTGCTTAAGAAGACCACCAAGGAGAAGAGGCGCAACTTAAAAAGATATACTTTGCCAGGAGTCTTTGCCTCATTGACACTGATAATGAGTAAAGAAGATGGAGAAGAGGCAGCCAACTGAAAATGTAGGACTGTATCGCTGTGAGGAAAGCCACGGACAAACCAAATCCAGAATAATAAGGCCGATTCCTTTCCATGTTTGACAACCACTGGTGCATTTCAATTCCTTTATGAAACTAGCGATATAACCAGCTTGGCAATAAGATGGATGAGGAGGAAATTTAGAAACATTTCCTGGAAAAGGAAGCAAGCCTGCACCAAAAGGATGGAGAGAACATCAGTAATAATTTTACTGACACTAGAGAGAAGATAACTTGCCTCTGGAAACTCGATGACCTTTGATAAATGTCGATAGTTGTAGAGGGGCTTTAGGCCTTTTGTTCATAGGGTCACTATGAGTTGTACTTGAAGGCAATCAGCAGCAACAGGGAACAGATGAGGCTTCCTCCCTGATACTGGAAGTGACAGATCAACTAGATCTTAGAACCAAATGGCCTTAGCATCTTTGCTAAGCACAGAGGGAGCACGCAGACAGCACTAGAAATGGAAGTGGGGAGGAGTCCAGCCATGACCAAACATCTCCATGTAGTGACAGATCGCCAACAGTGTGTGCTGTTACTGACTAAAGGGCAGGAACAAATGCTCTAAAACAACCCAAGACAACCAGAATATGCCTCCAACTCAAGCACAGCACAGGGTAAACATACGATTATCCATGGATCACTGCCTTGTTTCCACTCTTCGCTCTTCTATATTCGAGGATCCAGCTTTGAGATAGTACAGATACCCCAGATGAAGTCCTTGATTCCTCTGGCAAGGGCCTGGAGGAAGGTTTTAAAGCAATCTCTTCACCATCCAAACGATTAACTACAGAGACAGAGAAGCACCTCAAAATCTCATCATGAAGGTCCTGGCAGTTCTGCTATAGCCGCCTGACCCTCTCCTTTTCAGCCACTGGCCGCTTCAAAGTCCATTATTTTTAGCAGGGCACACAAGACTCATGATCTGACCCAGTCTCTTCACTCACTGTTCTTCACCTCGCATTTTATTCTTTATTCATATTGACTTAGTCCTGTGAATGACCAGACCCTCTCGTTCCCACACCTTTGCTTGCAGGTCTGGAAGTCCCTTCTCTATCTCTTGCTTCTCAGTTAACCTCTTATTTTAGTCATATTTAGGGAGCTTTTTCCACCTTTCATATCCCTCTCCTAAATGGATCCTTTAGTCCTGGTGCTACCGTTCTGACATTGTCGTGTATTTATTTGCTCACTTGTCTGTTTCAGTACACGCCTTCTCACCAAGAGGTCCTAGAGGGCAGGGAGTGTGCTTCTCATCTCACCAGTGTTCAGCAGAGTTACTGATTAATGTCTGTGGAATTTGAGCATGAATCCAAAGTTGAGTTTTCCAGGTTTGGAAATGGGTCATAGATAAACCATCTGAGTTGCTGTGTCTGTTCCTATTTGATGACTCTCAGGGGGATGTAAACTGGCTGCAGCCTCTTCTGTCTCTGGTGAGTTGGTTTAAGGATTGGGCTGGCTGCCTGTGCAGTGTCTTCTTCACTTAATAATGGGCTGTTGATAAGTCACAGCACTCTTTTTGCGTGGATTTTTATAAAGATTACAAATGGAAACATACTGAAATTAAGTGTAAATATTTTCCTTTTGAGGGAGCTCTGGTGGTCTAGTGGCAAGGAGTTGCACTGCAATCCCAGAGGCATGTGGTTTGAATCCACCAGATGCTCTGCTGGAGAAGGAGGGACAGTCTCCTCCTGTACCAGTCAGATCCGATTTGAGGGTTCACACACACATAATAATAATAAAATTAAAAAATTAAAAAAAAATATTTTCCTTCTGACCTAATCATCTCATCGTATACAAACATCTGGATTATACTGAGTAAATTTATACTGGTTCCACAGATTTATTTTTTTAAATTGGTTTATTAGTACTTTTGTTTGTTGTTGTTGTGTGCTGTCAATTGGATCTGACCGGCACAGGAGGAGATTACCCCTCCTTCTCCAGCAGAGCATCTGGTGGATTCGAACCATGCGCCTTCGAGATTGCAGCACAGCTTCATGTCACAAGACCACCAGAGCTCCCTTCCACAGATCTTTTGTTTGACTCTTTCGTTTACATAGTTCAAAGCAGTAATTTCCCCCCTCATTATGTGACAAATCCGTACATGTATGATTTCACTTAGCAATGTGTAAGAATATCATGGAAGCAGCTTTTGATCTCTTCTAACTTTATAAGGGTGAATCAAGATCAATTGCCCAAGCCCATTCCTGTGATGTGGAAGTCAGACATGCTTCCTCTTTCCAACTTTGTTACCAATTCTGATCCCAGCCTTCCCTCCCACTGCACTCTATTTTTCTACAGGTTTGATAATTTTCTGCAATGGTCACAGGGAACTCACAGATGATGCAGTTCCGGGGTTTGTTGAGGTAACAGGTTATAATCAGGATTAGAATTGACTCAGGACAAAGTTGTTCTGTCAGGACAGCTTCTCCTTGGCTGTATCCGTGGGCATGCCTCTTCAGCTTCTCAGTCCCAAGGCGCCTCTCACTGCCCTGGTGCTAGAATGCTCCTTAGTTCTGCCAATATGTATTCGGGCTCACCTCCCTCTGACAGGTAGCCTCCTGAGTTACAGTGCTTAGCTTTCTTGCTCTATGTGCCAGGAGGCACCCTGTGTGCTCTCATGCAGGTCTCTGGTTCTAATGTTCCTGCCAACCAGCTATTCCAGTCCAGGGTTACACCTCAAGCTCCACAGGCTAAGAGGTTCTTAGCACAGGGATTCCAGATCCAAAGCACACACTCCACTCCTGGCTCTTCTTCGTAGTTGTGAGGTTCTCTCCTTTCAGCCTCTGGGATGGCAAACCAATCTGCTTATTAGGGTTCCATGTACCTTATTTGCATGGTCTTTCCCTCACAAGACTGTCTTGCATGTTATTTATATTATTAGCAGGCTATCTAGTCCCCTTGGTTGACTACAAGCACCTCATTTATGTGGTCCTGCTCAGTCATTTGCTGAGAGTTACTGTGACTATGGCTAGAAAGGCCACATTAAGTAATACACTGCCAGCTGTGAGACTAGTATCAGAGGAATTTCATGGCATTAGTGAATTTAAACTATGTAGTCAAGAAATTAATGTTATTTAATGGATATTTTATCCTCTATAATTTTTTCAGTTTTTTTAGTATATGCTAAATAGTAAAAAAATTACTGTTTTTTATCCCAAGAACATAATTTCAGCTGAAGTAATGTTTCAGAAGACATTCTGAGATTGAAACAGTTTACTGATAAAATACAGACTGAGGTGGGATAGCCTCCAGTCATATCAAAGACAGAAGATGGTAGATTAAGTGCCTTAAATGAAAAGATAGTAGTGTTCTCTGGAACTGAAGTAGTGTACTTAACTCTTCAAAAAACACACACAAAAATATAGTTTTGAAGGTGAAAGACTCAGCCTTGTTGTCTCCTTGCAGAAGAAATGCAGTGAAGACATATGAAAGTTGGAACCTTGACAGGCCTGCCTTCTTCCTGTCCTGTCAAGTTTCCACTTTTGACAGAATGTACATTAATCACTCCTCTGTCACCCCTTTCAGTGGGAAATATTTGCATTTTCCTTCTCTGGCTTTGACTTTCACAAGTTTTATTGAATAGTGGTAAGTTGTATTCATTTTCAGAGACATAAAAGTGTGAATTGTTAAACAATTTTTGGAGGGTAATTTGGTAATATTATGGAGGACAATTAGGTAATAATTTTCCAAATAAAAATCCTCAGACCTTTTAGCCAGCATTTCCATTTGTCAAACTTTATTCTTATAGGTACAGTGGCTTATCAAGTGTACAAAAACAGTACAGGAAATTTCATTATAAACTTTGGCATAGCCATATAATGGAATATAATCACTTTTAAAAACATTGAGGTAAGTCTAATCACTGATAAGGCATCAGAGAGTAAGAAAAGGAGGACAGTATAATAGAACACAAGGTGCTCAGTAAAGCAGAGATACCTGTATACTAGTATAGCTACCTACTGTCTTGTTATGTGCCATTGAGTTAGAACCAGCTCATAACTGACCCTTCTGTGAGTTTTCAGAGACTATAAAGCATATAGGAAGAGGTTGCCCATCTTTCTACCTCAGGGCAGCTAGTCAATTCAAACCACACACTTTTGGGTTGTAGTGCAAGTCCTTACCCACTAGGCTATCTTGTGTGCCTTTAAGTTGGAACTGACCCATAGCTGACACTCAGAGACAGTAAATTGCATGGGAGAAGATTGTCTATCCTTCTCCCGCAGAGCAACTGGTGGATTCGAGCCATGTGCCTCTGGGATTGCAGCACAGCTTCTTACCACTGGGCCACCAGAGCTCCCTGGTAAATAGATGGTAACATGGATATCTCTGAAGAGAGATACTGGACCATAGAGATGGGCTAGAGGTTTATAATCCTGAGGTCTTTGGGTTTTGTCATGTATATGTAATATCCTTGCAAAATAAATTTTTGACACGCTCTTTATAAACCAATTAATACTGTAAAATGTCCTTTTATATTAAGTTGGAACAAATGGTCGAGTCATAAGTTTTGAAGTAAGAAAAGACCACCATGATCTGGCTAAGAAGAATTACAAGAAATGGCGTGATTCATGGAAAATAAGTCATGTAGAAGAATGGCCAGACAACGTGGATTTTATTCATAAGGATTTTTCAGGAGCAACTGATGACATGAAATCCTTCACCTTTGATGCAGTAAGTTTTCTCCCTCTAAGTGGGTCTTAGGTTATTAACACTAGTGCAAAGGAAACAAGATCAGACTTCTGTCTGAACAAGGATCTTCCTTCATTATTTGTCCCTTTGCTATCTCTAGGAGTGGGAAGAATATTTAATATCATGTTGGGATTTGGGACAGAGAGTAATATCTAGTTAGATGGCATTGCTGTTAAAAAATGTGAGGTAATGACCAGAAACTAAGAAAAGTAGCTGAGCTTGATGAACCTCAACATTTCCAAGATAGAAGGATAATAATTTGGAAGCCACACTGGGATCCTGTTGAGCCTGTTCTCTGATGCTCCGAGTTTTGAGGGGAATAAATAACCTTCTTTTAAGAGGGAACAAATAATAGCTGGTGGATTACTGTCTTTTTCTTGAATTATGGAACCTCTTTGTTCCTTGGTTCATCAAACATTAAGGACCTATAGAATGTATTACATAGTATACTAAAACAGAAATTAATTGTACATTTAAAGGAGCTTCCAACCAAGAAAAGAAGGCTAGCATAAAAAATTGGCATGTGAATTGTTATTAGAAAGAAACTCTCCATTTGAGACCAGAATAGCTGATGCCCAGCCACCACTTCTGGTCACTTTAAAAGGGATCAGGGTAGAAGGTCCTAGAGAGATTGGATAAAAAAAATGTGGGGGAAAACCTGAAGAACATAAAAGTGGCCAGGCTTCCTGGTCCAATAGAAACTGGTAAAACTCCCAAGATTATGGCCCTCAGTCACCCTTCAAGCCTAGAACCAAATTTCACCACAGGGCTCAACTTTCAGTTCAGCCTGTCAGGTGAACAGTAACACTGTGGAGGCACTCCTCACACAGAGCAGCCACCTAAGAGCACACAGAGACACAGCTCAGAAGAAAGGAAGGGAGTAGGATGAAAGGATTACTGGAAATAGAAATCCCATCGAGGGAGGGGGAAGAGTGGTTACACTGTGTGAACTGTAATTATGTCTGGGTGGTTGAATGCAAACCAATTTCCCTTGTCAACTTTCACCCAAATCCTAATGAAGAAAGACAAAAGAAACACCATGACTGTCTAACTGCATACAAGAAGAGGTGAAGCTGGAAATAGTTACAAAAACCTAGATAATGAAGAATGTTGTATGTTAAGTTCTCCCAAACCAAACCCATTATCATTCACTCACTTCTGACTCCTACTGACTCTGTGAGACAGAACTACCAATAAGGTATTTCTTTGTTTTTTAAATTTTACTATTTTTTGTGTGTGTACCGTCAAATCAGATCTGATTGGTACAGGAGGAGATTATCCCTCCTTCTCCAGCAGAGCATCTGGTGGATTCGAAATGCATGCCTCTGGGATTGCAGTGTAGCTTCTTGCTACTAGGCGACCAGAGCTCTCTCCAATAAGGTTTTGAAGGCTGTAAATCTTTATGGAAGCATACTTTCAAATCTTGCTCCTATATAGTAGCTGGTGAGTTCAAACCACTGGCCTAAAGGTTAGCAGAGTAACACTTTAACCATCAGGCTACCAGGGCTCTGTATCAAGTTAGAGTATGTGGAAAACTATACAGTTTTAAGTAGAGGAGTAGTATGCCCAGATTCCTGCTTTAGAGTAATTCTAGTGGAAGTATAGTGGCTAGAAGTCTCCTTAGAAAGCTACTGTCTAAGGCAATGGTAGTCAGATGAATTGAGAAATATTTATGAGGTAGATATGTGGGGCTGGATTCTAATTCAGACAGAAGTGCTAATACTCTAATTTTAGAAATAGAATTCAAGGTAGGAAAAAATTATGACCCCCAAGTTTCTAGATTGAGCAACAGGAGGATTTTAATGCCATTAGAGTACCTAAGAGTGATGTGTTGTTGGGTGCTATCAGGTTGACTACAGCTCACAGTGACCCTATGAACCTTGCCTTATCACACACCATCCTCACCATCTCTGCTGTGCTCAGTGCATCTTGCTGAGGGTCTGTCTTTCTCTGGCCCTCTGCCTTTCCCAGCATCATGCTTTTTTCCAAGGACTGACCCCTCCTGACAACATGCCCACATATGGGAGATGAAGTTTCACCATCCTGGTCTCTAACAAGCAGTCTGTTGCACTTCTGTGTCCTGCTTCTCTGTTCTTTTCGCAGTCTGGGATATATGAGGTACTGTTCACCAATACAATTCAGTGGGATCAGGTCATCTTCTGTCACCCTTACTGCCCAACTTTCACATCCATAGGAAGTAACTGAAAAGACCATGACTTGGATCTGGCACACTTGAGTCTTTAAACTGGTATCCTTGCTCTTTTGCACTTTGGGGAGATCCTTGATAGACTTTCCCAAGGTAAAACATCTTGACTTCTTGCTGCTGTTACTAGGGCTTGTGGAGCCAAGCAAGAATGATCTGTAGCTGAGGATCCAGTGGTTCTTTAGATTCTGGAAACTGCACAGGAGGAGATTGCCCGTCTCTACCCTGAGGAGCCGCTGGTGAAGTCTAACTGCCAGAGAGGTACGACCTTTGGGGTAGCAGCAAAACTCCTTGCTCGCTGCATCACTAGTGCTCTTCCTCTGTGTAGTCTTTAAAGCTAAGTTCCACCATGCTGTTCTTTTAAAATGCCCCAGTGGCTTTTCTCGATCTGAATAGAGTTACCTTCAACTCAAGGCATCCCTATTTGTGTCAGATTACACAGTGTTCCCAGCTCTGGTGGCACAGTCCATAGCGTGCTGCACAGTGAGCCAAAAGGCTGTGTACCTCTGGCGGGTTGACTCCACTGGTTACTGCAAGGGGCAAAGATGAGCAGTCTCTTCCAGTTAAGATTTACAGCCTCGGAAAGATGAGGATGGGCTGCTATGAGTTGGAATCGACTAGGTGTCAGTTTGAGACTGCTTCACAGGGTCTCAATGGTCAGTTCTCTAGAAGCAGATCACCAGGCATTTCTTCCAACACATGTCTGCATAGACTTAAAACTTGCAACTTTTTTGTTAGCAGCTGAACACATAAACTGTTCACACTGCCCAGGGACTCCTTATTAAAGCTAAAGCTCTTCTTATGGCCTGCAATCACACTAGCTTGCTTACTCACTTGTTGTTGAGCTGTGACTGATTCATTGCTGACCCTCCAGCGGCGGGTTTCTGAGGCTGTAAATCACAGGTGCAGACAGCCCATCCTCCTGAGGCACAGCTGGTGGCTTCAGACAGCCTGCCTAAGGGGTTGGCTGCTCAGCTCCTTGACCCACTCACTACCAGAGGCTGCCAGAGCCCTGAAGAAAAAGTCTGTTGTCAACACTGCCAAGTGTAAGAAGTGCCATTCTAAGTTTTATATATAGTTAAGTACAAATGATATCAAACTAAACATTACTCGTAGATAACAGTAAATTGAGAGTTAATAGTCCTATATTCTTTAAGGAAATCATTTAACTGGATAATTGCCTTCCAAAATTGTGTCATGTCACAATAAAGAAACCTCTGTTTCTATTTAAATGGAACTCACTTCTCTTTTTTTCATTCCCACAGGTAGCTTTGGATATGTTAAATCCTCAAGTTGCTTTACCTGTTTTCTACCCAAATCTTAAGCAGGGCGGTGTATGTGCTGTGTATCTAGCCAAGTGAGTAATATGGTGGTTTTCTTTTGTAATGTGATTTTTTAAACATACTTTTATCTAAGGGAACTCTGGTGGCCACGTCCAAAGCCAGTTGCACTGCTAACCCAAAGGCTGTGTCTCTCAGGTGATTCAAATGCACCAATGGCTTTGCTGGAGGGAGACAGGCAGTCTCCTCTTGCTCAATTTTCACCCAGAAACCCAGAGGAGGCTCAACTATGAGTTGGCTCTGATTTGGCGGCAACAGTATTTGCATCTAATTTCATCTAAGTACCATACTAGAATTTTCATTATATAACCGAATAGAGTATATATGTTATAGTAAAACTGTTGTAAAATGACAACACCCCAATTTAATTTACCAAAACCAGTTGCTGTCAAGTCTAAATCACAGTCACCTTACCACCTTATAGGACAGACCACAATTGTCCTTCAGGGTTCCCAGTGCTGTAATGTTTACAGGAGCAGCTCACCTCGTCCTTGTCATATGGAGCTGCAGGCAGGTTCAACCTGCTGACTTTGTGGTTAGTAGGTGAGCACATAACCAGGATGCCACAGGACTCCTCACTTCAGTCCTATGGCCGATTAAATCATCCTTTACATAAATACGATACATGAAATTCTTATAGTTTGGAAGAAAAATTTTTAAAATGTAATGTGAGCCGTAATATTACATGGAGTTTTCTATATTTTTTCACTTAGTATCCTGTGAAATTGTGTATGTGTCCTACCTTTCATTTTTACTTTTCCCATCCTTGATCACCTTACAGATATAATAAACTTAAACAAATAAATGCACTATTTTAGTAGAAATCTAAGTATATTTTCCCCTTTTCTGAAAGTATCACACAGGTTATTGAACTCTTAGGTGGAATTCACGTTTGGAACCTTGCTCTGTCATGTGAAAGGATCAGTGAGGTCATTGTCAGAGATTGGTTGGTTTGCCTTTCAAAACAGAAAAATGGAATTTTATCTCAAAATGTACCACCTAAAGTCAATACAGATTTACAGTTATTCTCTCAAAAAGGAACTGGAGTTGAAAGTGAAATGTTTCAAAAAGATGACCATGGTGAGTTTTAAGAATTTCCCAAATAATTTTTTCATATACAAATTGAAATAATGGTGATTATTTTATGAAATTAAAATCTGTAAAGGACAAAATAGTAACTTAGCCTGCATCTTAAGTAAATTTTGGTAACTTTGAAAAACTAAACTGCTTATAATATTCATTCTGTACTTATCTGAAGGAGGCGCTTTGATTATGAAGCACTTCATATATTCTAAAGAATGTTTTAATTTTGATCAGTGATTATTACTAAGAGAATAACATTTAATAGGACCAAATATGCAAATAATTAACATTACAAAAGACAACTTTTTAAGATACTGTTGGAATTCTTATTAGAACTAAACTTGAGTCCTTTTTGTACATATTATGGAAGCCATGAACAAGTTTTAAAGTATTAATTGATTTTATTATATGGACTAATCTCTTTGAATATATATCTCTATATAATTTTATCATCTTACACTAACAAATTGTTTCTGTAACTAGAACAGTAGCTCCAAAGCAAATGCTGGAAAAATATATAAGAAAAATATTAGCACAGATCCAGTAATTTATATTTTCACAGCTTTTGTGAGCAGATTGGAAAACTTTTACATAGCTTATAGTAAGTACATATTTTGTTTTGCAGCTGAAAAATCACATGATCCTTTTCCGTACAGACCATTTCCCTATATTGCTAGACCTGCACACTGGCAAACTGGTCACACAGGTGAGTAATGCTGTCAGGCATTATTAAATGATGTTTTCCTTCTGATTACTACACTGACTTTACTTTTTCCCTTCTTAAATTAGCTTTTCTTGTCAAGTTGAGGAAGTTCAAGCCACAACTGAGCTGAATATTTTAGATGATGTTGTGTGAACTGAAGACTGGAAAGTACCAAAACAGAAATTTATACTGGAGATCACTACTTTCATAGATTGATATTTTTAGCTATTGTTTGTGTAACTTTTACAAATAATTTTGAAAAATAACCAAAGCTAAAGAAAGATACGTGACATTGTAAAACTGCTTAAATGTTCGTTTTGACACTTGTCCTGCCGTCGGTTTGACACATTGGAGTTAGCGATTCCATGTTTACTTGAACCATCTCATTCTTCACTTCCCGTGAACCACTCCATAGATTTGTCTCTCTCCATGAAGTCAGTTTTATTTTCCTTGTTTGACTGATGATCTTTGGCTATTGAAAATAAAATATGCATTTTAAGATAAATTTTATTTTATCTGTGTGCTTTAAACATATTCTAATGGAATATATGTATACTAAAAAAATAACAAGGGCAGCACTCAGGAGCAAGGGTTTTGAAAAATACTACCTAACTTGGGAGAGACTGGAGAGCATTATTCTGAGTGAACTAACTCAATCTCATACAGACAAATACTGCATAAGACCATTATTTTAAAAACAGAAGGATAACTAGTAAAATGTGTATGGGGGTCCAAAGGAGAAAGGAGTGGGAGCAGGGGAGTGAGGATGGGCAGGGAGAAATCACAGGGTTGCACAATTTGGTGGGTGGAGGGAGGTGGGAAAAATCTGGTGGGGACCTGAAGAGATGGGGTAATGGTGGGCATAGTCCAATGGTGATTTTTTAAATTTTATAAAACGCAATATATGGGAATGATTGTATGAAACATGTCAGTGCAGGAAAGTGTGGGGGAAATCTGCATAATAAAAAAATTTAGATTATTTCATAAAAAATAAGAAAATACAAGTTATAGTAAAAAGCAAGAAAAAAATGAAAAAGAATGGTATAATGGAACAATGAATGATTTTTTTTTTAAAGTGAACTGGGTTGGGTAGAAAGGCCAATATGTAACAATAAATGAATGAATGAAAAATCCAATTATCAGTAAACTTTCCTTAAAAACCACAATTTTAAAAAAGAGACCTTTCTTGCAAAAAAAGAAAACAAAAAAAACACACACACCACAGAAAACAAACCCAACAAAAAGAATCATATAATAATCTACTTGAAAGTTGTAATAAAAAGGTATAAAGATTTTTCAATCCTTTTTAAGTAGTGTGAAGGAATGTCAGAATTGTGTAGTGTTATTATGATAATAAAATACTTGTGGAAATATACTTACAAACAAGAAATAAGATTTATTATTATTCATAGGCATTGTTTTCAAGCATTTATTATTGCCATAGATAGTTTCAAGAGCTTTATATATGTTATTTCATTTAATACATACAACTACTTGAAGTTATCTGTATTTTATAAATAAGCAGACAAACTCAGAGTGGTTAAGCGATGTAAAAGACAAATGTGCTGTAGGTTTTAAAGTTGTAGGACCTGGTAGGATAAATGGTGCTATTCCTGGATTTATCCTTTGGCTAGATTTGAACCACTGATCTTTAAGTTAGCAGACCTAATAAGTTATGCACTGTGAAGCACCATGAAGACTCTGTTCAGATAGTTATACAGAAATACGACACCAGATTACTCTGCTCAGATTCTGTCAGTTCTCCAACTATAGCCAGAATGGGTTTTTTCAATACAAACTCAAATATGTTACTTTTACTTAATAAAATCCTTCAATAGTACTTCATTTTTCTTAGGATAGGCAAACTCCTTGCGAGATATATAATCTCCATTGGACCTTGACCATCATTACCGTCTTTTCGCCTGATCCTTTCATTTGCTCCCCCCCAACTCTCCACCCACCACATTGTGAGTGAAAGACTGATTACAAAAATGAAACTGTAAAGATAAGTAGGAACCAGGCCATGCAGGGTCTTATGCACCTCTTTTTTTTGTTGTTTTTTTAAATTACATTTGTCAGAAGGGATTTCATGTAGCAACACAGAATCCATGCTTAACTGCAAGGAAAGTAAGTTCAGCTGCTGATTGCTCTGCTCTTTCTTCCACCTTCCCCTAACTCACTCCCTGTGGTTTGTGTGGATTTCCCAGGTCCAGAGTACTGCCATCTTTTGGTTGATTTCAAAAGAGATCTAATTCCTGACCCCCGTCTTTTCAGCATTGTCTTTATGTAGCTTAATATTACAATCTCTGCAAAAATTGACACAGAATGATCCCTATTTACTCTTTCTGGTTTTTTTGTGTTTGTTTTTTATTAATTGGTTTGCTTACAAAGTTTGTATACGCTGTGGTTCACACTACTTTTCATTCACATTGTGTTTCATATAATCATTCTCATGCATTATGTTTTATAAAGTTAACCTGAGGAGGTTGGAGAGCATTATGCTGAGTGAATGAACACAGTCTCATAAGGACAAATACTCCATAAGACCATTATTGTAAAAATAGGAGGGTAACTAGTAAAACATGTACACGAACTCAAAAGGGAAGGGGGGGGAGAGCAGAGGGCTGATGATAGGGGAGAAACCACAGGGTTGCACAATGTGGTGGGTGGAAGGTGGGGGGGGAGCAAATGAAAGGATCAGACAAAAAGACGGTAATGATGGTCAAGGTCCAATGGAGATTATATATCTCGCAAGGAGTTTGCCTATCCTAAGAAAAATGAAGTACTATTGAAGGATTTTATTAAGTGAAGGTAACATATTTGAGTTTGTATTGAAAAAAACCCATTCTGGCTATAGTTGGAGAACTGACAGAATCTGAGCAGAGTAATCTGTTGTTGTATTTCTGTATAACTATCTGAACAACAGAGTCTTCATGGTGCTTCACAGTGCATAACTTATTAGGTCTGCTAACTAAAAGATCAGTGGTTCAAATCCACCAGATGCTCCTTGGGATAAAAATGGACGGCCTCCTCCCCTAAAGATTTACATCATCGGAAACCTGATGGAGAGTTACTATTATGAGTTAGAGTCTATTTGAAGGCAGTGGGTGTGGGGTTTTCTTTTGTATATCTGAATACTCATGTAACAGTAACATTTCACATTTTCAGATATGGAGAGAGGGAGCTTCTGAAGTACTATTTTTAAATTCTATCAAGGAATACTCCCTTTTCTGCTTTTCTTTTTAACTAGAAGAAAACTTCAGTTATTTGTTCATTGTTCTGAATGCTGGTTATGTGCCAGCCCCTAAAGGTACTTCTTTGAGAAAGGGTTGTCCTCTACTCCCGTTTCACTTAGAATACTTGAGTTTCTATTCAGCATACTGTGCTGACAAGTTGTTGAACTGAACTGGAACGTGCTAATAAAATCTTCTGGGGGAAAGATCAGATGCTGAAGACCAAATTACACGGTATTTATTTGTGTAGTTAATCAAAGCCCTCTTCTGAACACTAAACAATTTGTAGTCTGCCTTTGGGACAGATGCTGTATGCCTTCTCACGTTAGTTTTCTTTGGCTTGCTCTCATCATGACATTGTGAACCCCTAAAGATTTAGAACTGGCTCACATCTTCCCAGTGCCTTCCAGAGGCCCCACTTTTCATGTAGTATATGGTCAATACTTTTAAACCTACACTGGATCATGTATTTTTCACAAAATACTTCTGAGAAGTTTTCATCAAGTCTCCTACATTAAGTCAACTGAGACTCATGGTGATCCCATTGTGTCAGAGTAGACTGCACATCATATTTTCAATGCCAGTCTTTTCCAAAGTAAATCACCAGGACTTGTGAACATGTAATTCAGATAACTTTTATCACTCTATTAATTTATAGGTGCTGACTATCTCTTCACTAGATAGAGGTAAGGTTGGTGGGCATGTTATCAAGAGGGGCTAGTTATTGGAAAAAGACATCATGCTGGGTGCAAAGGGTCAAAGAAAGAAAGGAAGACCCTCAAAAAGATGGACTGATACAGTGATGGCAACACTGGGCTCACGGATGGCAGGATGGTGAGGCTGGCACAGGATAGGGCAAGGTTCAGATCTGTTGTTCACAGGGTCATTGTGAGTCATAGTTGGCTTGATGGCACCCAACAACAAATCAAGGATTTTAAACTTAGATGATTAGAACTGTGATGCTGACAAAATTAAGTTCAGAAAATTATTTATGAGGAAAAGATATTTACGTTTAGATTATAATAATTGGAACAATTTATGCATTCCTTTATGACCTAGGGTGAAAGGTTGGTCTGTTTTCTCCCTACTTCCCTTAACTTCACTCTAAAATCTGAGCAGTCCTAATATAATTCATAATAATATATGCCGATTTCTCAGGTGGACTCGGCTGGGCCTATTTTAGGCCAAAAGATTTAAGACAGCATAAGGCAAGGACAAATAATTTATCATATTCCTGGTTTTGTTGTTACTGTTGCTTTAAATAGTGACTGTGACTCTTCTGAATTTGTTTCTTCATTAGCACAATGAATGTCTTGCCATTTCACAGATTTCTTTGGAAGGAATTCAGTGAATTTAAACCTTTATAAAAGTGCATAATACTTGGCTGGTTATTACAAGATTCTGTAAATATGTAAAGAATGCCTCTTCTATTCCTGATCCCTGAAAATGTTACCACCTCATCTTGTCAAAGTGAAAATCATTTTGTTCTTTTTTAAAAATATTGTTTACTTTTTTACTGGTTTGCTTACAAAGTTTGTATACATTGTGTTTCACACTATTCTTCATTTACATTGTGTTTATACAATCATTCTTATGCATTATGGGGGTTTTTTTTTTGGTTGGATGCTTGGGGTTTTTACTAAAAGTTAATTAAAGTTTATAGAAAACTTGGATTTCCATTCATTTATTGTTACACATTTTCCTCCCTACCCACTCCACCCCAGTTTGCTTTTCTCTTTGAAAAAAATTCTTTCATTGTTGCACAATCCCTCTCCCAGTCCACTTTGCTATGCAGCTCTTATCCTGGACTCTTGTCATACAAATGCCTAATCATATATTCCTTTTAAACGGTTCTTTCCCTCATCTGTTTCAATGTAGTGTTCATTAATTACCCCCTCTTTTCTTAGTTTCTCCCCAACCCTCATGTCAGTTCTGTTTATAACAGTGGCATTACACAATATTTGTCCTTTCATGACTGAGATATTTCACTTAGCATAATGTCCTCCAGGGTCACCCATTTGTTAGAATATTTCATGAGTTCCTTCTTTTTCAGTACCTCATAGTATTCCATTGTGTGACTATACCACAGCTTCTTTATCCATTTGTTTGTTGATAGTCACTTGGGTTGTTTCCATCTCTTTGCTATTGGGAACAACGCAGCAATAAGCATAAAACATTTTGCTCTTTAAAAAGTCATAAACATGTTGTTTTATAAAAACTTTTTTTTTCAATGCATTGCTTCTGGGGGGAAATTCTTTTAAAGTAGAAACATTTGTTTTTATCTGAAAAGGGAGAAGCTGTTTTTGTTGGAAAGAAAGTCTGTGGAAATACCAATAACCTAAATTTTGGCATAAAAATCTAGAGAAGGGTATCAGCTCTCTGTGTTTGACTTGAGTATGCTCCAACCGTATGCCCTTCTGATATCTTTAAGTGCTAACCTGAGTAAAATATAAAATTACCTTTCAAGTCAGGCAGACCTGGGTTCAGATTTAGCTCTATTACCTTGGGCAAATAAACTTTCTAACCCGCAGTTTCCTCATCAAAAGTGGAAAGAATTGTATTCATGTTAGAGTTGACTGTAAATACTAAATAAGATAATGACTATCACACCCTCTGACTAGACTGAAATGGGTATGTGGCTGCAGAAAACCCAGTTGAGATAGAGAGCTGATGCTTTGCTCCAGGTTATTATAGTGAAACCCAGTCTAGATAGTTATCAGGAGCCTCCTCTTAGTATATTGCCTGGAACATTTTAAATATTGCTTTACCTATGACAAGGATCAAAGACTGTATAGGTAAAAAGGCCCAGTGGAGGAAAGGAAGAGTGCTGAGAGGCAAACCTTCTAAATACAGATGAATCAATAAAAATTATGCTTGGAAGTTATATAGTATTTTTCAAAATTGTTGCTTCTAAGTGTTGCACAGTATCCCATTGTGTGAATATACGACAATTTCTCAATCCATTCAGTTGTGGTTGAACATTTGCAGTGTTTCCATGATTTTGCGATGGTTAATTATGCTGTTAGGAAAAATTGATGTACAAATCTCCATTTGCATTTCACTTCTAATTTCCTTGGGGTATATGGATTTTCTATGTTCAGCTTTTTAAGGAAACACCAAACTGTCTTCTAGAGTGGCTACACCATTTTACAATCTCACCAGAGCGTATTAGAGTCCTCATCTCTCCATTACATAACTTGGGAGAGATTGGAAGGCATTATGCTGAGTGAATGAACTCAGTCTCATAAGGACAAATACTGCATAAGACCATTATTGTAAAAATAGATAACCAGTAAACTATGTATGGGAACTCAAGGGAGAAAAGGGTGGGAGCAGAGGTGTAAAGTTAGGTAGGGGCAGAACCACAGGGTTGCACAGTTTGATACATGGAGGAAGGGGATGAAGGAAGTAGGAAAAGATCCAAGTGACAAAACAGGGTAATGACAGGCAAGGTCCAATGGTGATTAATTTTATAAAACATAATACATGGGAATGATTGTGTTGACACACATTATGAATGAAGAATAGTGTAAAACACAGTGTATACAAACTTTGTAAGCAAACAAATAAAAAAAAATATGATTGTAGGTGTTGAAAAGGAAGACAAACTGTCAGTCATATGTGCTGAGTGACTACTATCTCTCGTGAACAGAACAATGACCGACATAGGACCCCTACTTTCAAAATTCTTACAGCCTAGTTTTTCTATTAGTAAAACTTCTGTGGTTGTGGTGGTATTAGTTGAATATGACACTTAGTGACCCTATAAACAACAGAGCTGAACTCTGCCCTATTCTGTGTCATCCTTATTATCTCTGACACATACTGTTAATCTCATAGGAATGGTAAAAAAGAAATAAGTAGAAATTTGAAAGGTTGCAGATCTGCTCATTTCTCATAGAACTAGAAAAGGATCATAAAAAAAAATCTGTCAGTCTCAGCTGGGTTAAGACCTGGCAGAAAGGTTTATAAGAAGTAGAAAGAATCACTGCTGTGAAATATTGTGCTATTTTAAAGCTAGGAGAGAAATATCAGAAAAGTGCTTTATCTTTGTAAAAATAATTACAAAATTATAGTGTGATGACTAAATATTTCCTGTTCAAGTGACATTTCCTAAGATTAACATTTGTAAAAACCATTTCAGTCCTCCTAAAATGAAACATTCAACTTAATTATGGTGCATATATCACCGTACAATTAAAGTAAGATTGAAAAGGCTATATTTAATAATATGAGGAAATGCTTTTTAAATGAAACATTTAATATGGTTCTATTTTTTTAAAAAATAGAAACAGAAGTTCAAGAAGAAAACACAAAAAAACCCAGTCATTAGAGATTGGTAATGAGATTACAAGTAAATTTATTTTCCTCTTGCAACCCCTTTTGAATAAAATAAATACTTTTAATAAAATAAACATTACAAAGAAAATAGTTCAGACTCTGAAAATACTTAAGTCAAAATACTTCAGGCTTATAGTGAGTTTTAAGCTAAGCCACATTAAAAAATCCCTTTAAAATTGATTGTCTATCACAAAAGATAGATAAAGATGGATACAAAGGGGGAAAGTGATAATTTAAAGGGGAGAAACTCACTTCTAATTCTTATTGTTCTAGTATATAAATTATCTCTGTCTGTAAGGACTGACTGATGTTTAATAAATAACATGTATAAATCAAATTCTGTTATATCATTAACTCCTACCTTGAGAATAGCTATAATCTTGGGAAAGACCAACTGCTTTGTCCATTGAGAATGAGTTGTGTGATTCCTGAGAATGTTTTTCCATTACTTCCACTGTACCACTGGATGAAGACGAAGATGAAGACAATCCCAGTCTAAGATATCTTCCCTTTTTACCACAGAGTGAACAATCTAATGGTGTGGCACTAGGTCCCCGAGGCAGCTGGACTTCATCTCTGTTGTAGTTTCTCACAGCTCCACTGTGATGCACAGAGCGTTCCCGTTGCCATATATAATGGGTTGGTGCAATGGCCATAACCTAGAGTGGAAAGCTTACTTTAAGAATTTTGAAAAAAAAAAAAAAGGATT